CCACTGACCACAAGCACCACAGGCAGGACGCTCTAGTTCCCCTGTGGGCCTGCCCGTGCACCCTCCCTCATCCCCCTCACCGTTGCATTGGAACCCGCACAGCGGCACGCCCACATAGCTGCCTATCTGCCGCGCGTCGTAGCTCTCCTCCCCGTACAGCCCCGCCCCGCGCCCGTTGCAGCTGAACACCAGCGCGCCGACCGCAGGCGGCTCCACGCGGCCAGCCAGCACGCTGGCCAGCCGCTGGCGCTTGTACGCAACTCCATGCGCCGCCAGGTCAGCGCGCGCGCCCTCGCTGTCCCGCACCATGAAACGGAACGCGCCGCCCAGGCGGGGCGTGTCCCCGACCGCCAGCTGGGCGTTGTTGGTGAGCGCCATGCCTCTGATTAGGTACTCCGTCGTGGCTGCTGCTGCCGCGCCGCCGCTGCCGCCATTGAAGAATGTGTCGGGCCCGCCGCCGGGGGAGGCAGCAGCTGCAGCAGCGGCGGCGGCGGCGGTCGCGCCGGGCACGGGGGCGTCCGAGGCGGCCTTGAAGGGGCCGAACACGTCATCTGGGGGCTTGAGGCCGCAGCACAGGTTTGAAACTACCTGCTGCCTGCAGCGAGGAAACAGGTGTGGGGAAGCAGGTACCGCAGCCAGGGCCGCTCATTTGAGTTCCCTGCAAAATCAAAGCGAGCGCGCCCCGGTCATAGGCCGGCCCTCAGCATGTGCCATGGCACTCGCCTCACCCATCCAGCTGGCGGCCGCGCGCCCCTTCCGCTCCTCCCGCAACACTATCACAGCAAATGATCGAGCCGCCTACACCCTGCAGCGGCCCGGTCAGTGGGCACCTAGCCCCGGGCATTGCTGCCCGCCCTCCCGAACTACGCCTGGCTCACAGCTCGCGTTCGCTGGCTATAGGCTGCAGTGGCTCCCCCAGGTCGCGCCGCAGCGCCTCCAGGGGTGCAAACGCTGCGCCGCTGCTGCTGTCGACAAGGGAAGTAACCAAGTTGCGCTGCTCGGGCGCCACCGCAGCGACCGTGTACACGTGGCGGCTCAGCGGGCGGCAGCCCTACAGGGTGCGCGGGTGATGAATTGAGGGCGGGAAGCAACGTCTGGTTGCTGCAGACGGTAGGTGCATTGACGGCTGCTGCTTCAACCATCATTGCTTCTACACCTGCTGCTGCTGCGGCGGCGGAGGCGGCGGCAACTGCTGATAACTGACACTGGCTGTGCAGGGCTTTGTACACCCGTCCGGCAGGCTGCAAACACGGCGAGATGACAGACCCCACAGCACCCCCTTCAAGGCCTTACCTGCGCAATGAGCAGTTCCATAGTGAGAGGGCCCCGCAGCGCCAGCACCGCTGCGCCGGTGCGCTGGACGCCTGTTGAATCCGCGTCATCCTGGGGGCACCGATGGTGAAGCCCGTGGATGGATGCTCAGGGCGATCATGAGGGGGCCAGCGCGCAGTCCCACACGTATCGTCTATGTGGGTGGTCTTGGTGAGTGCTTGCCCAGGAGATTGCTCGCCCAGGGAAGTAGCGACCACCGCCTGCTGTGCCGTACGCCGCTGCGATGCACCCCGACCTCCCCGGTCCTGCCTACCTGGTCAGCGCTCCAGCAGAAGATGCTCCTGGCGCTGTTCAGGCGCCCGGAGCTGCTCAAGCCGCCTGGTGCAGAGGGGAGGGCCGCACACGCAAGCAAAGGGAAGGGGCGCACTGTGGAAGAGGGTCAAGGTGACGACAGGGCCCGCAACCGCTGGTCATGGGCTCCCCCTTGCAGTACTGCCTCGCACACGCGCATGGCGTCCACTCCAGCGTACACACAAGCACAAGCACGCATGTCGGCGTCAACGGCAGGCGGCCAGGCAGTTGTACAACGCAGGCACGCTCACCGCACACTGGGGACCCCGGGAACGCATAATCCAGGCCCGCCAGCAGCTCCTCGATGCCCGTGAACGAGGGATCTGATATCACTATGAAGTTGGTGTTGACACCCGCGCTGCTGCTGCTGCCGCCGCTGCCGTCCAGGCTCAAACCCACGAGCCGCGCCCACTCGTCAGGGGACGCGTCTAGCGCCAGTGACACGAGCGACGGAGGCGCAGGCGCGGAGGGCGAGGGCCGAGGGATGGTGTGGGCAGCAGCAGCAGCAGCAGCAGCAGCAGCAGCAGCAGCAGCAGCAGCAGCAGCAGCAGCAGCAGCAGCAGCAGCAGCAGCAGCAGCAGCAGCACAACACAATGTGACAGCAACGACTCCGCCATCAGTGCCGCCCGAACTCAACGGGAGCCTGCAAGCTGAGCAGGCGCGCCCGCACGAGGCCCCAAAGCCTGGCTCACCGCCGTCGGGGACGTCTTCAGCCTGCACCCGGGCGAGCCGCGTCTCTACGCCAGGGAACCGCGCCAGCGCCACCGCCACCGCCGGCGCATGCTCGACCTCCTCGGGCGCGCCGCCGCCAACGGGCGTCCCCGAGACACCAAAGCCAGTGCAGCCGACGACGGCGCGGGCGCTGGGCAGTAGGCGGCGCAGCAGCGGGACCAGCAGGTCGAGGGCGCGGCCGTACGCGCTGCTCGCAAACACGAATGCGACCTCCGGCTCGGGCCGGCCGCTGGAATTCAGGGCCGCTTCGACCGCCTCGGTGAGCGCTAGGTCAAGGTTGACGCGGCGGCTGACCGCGGTGGCCCAGGCCCAGCTGTCGTCGTCGTCGCCGCGGCCGCCGGGCGGGTTGGAGGCGCTGCTGCGGACGGCGAAGGGGGCGGGCACGGTCTGTGGATGTGCAACGCACACAGGGTGGGGCGTAGGGACGCGTGGCGTGTCCAACGGCCTGATTGCTTGACTGCGTTACTCGCTTTGTGCGAATGTGCTTGCAAGTGCTTGCAAGTGCTGCGCCGGGCCGTGGCGGCCAGGCACCTGCAGGCGTGCCGCTCAAGCCTTCGGCCGCACCTGGTGGCGCGACACTGTGCGTGCTCGCGTGGCTCAGCGGCACAGCGCCAGCGGTGTGGCCAAGCCCGCCAGTGGTCGTGCTGGGCCTGAGGTGCGTGCGCAGGGCTGGCCACGCGGCAGCGTCGCTTTTGATGATGGCTGGTGCACAACGCCGGAGGGCGCGGCGCCGCCACCCGTGCAGCACACTGCGGTGTGACAGCGCGGCGCTGCAGCCGGCTAAGCATATTGTCGGGAGTCACGCGAGACGCAGCCTAGCTGTGCCGAGTTGGTGCGTTCTGCAAACCTTTGTCCACTACGGTGATACTCAAATTATACGAGAGTCGCCGCGCTTGTCATGGGCCATTTCGCATATCATTCACTCTTGACTGGCTTGTACGCTCTTCTGCATTGAAGCCGGTGTTCCTGATCTTCAACGGGGCACTCGTCCCTGGATCACCGGCCTCAACACCAGCGTGAAAAAGGCTGGCAATGGGGCTGTTGAGCCGGCAGGAAAAATGTTATGAGCCGGCTGCTGGACCGGGCTGGGTCGCTGCAGACGCTGCGGTTGAGCAAGCGTCGTCGCGGGCAGTCGAGGGCGGCGGCGTCGCCGCGGGTGAGCTGCCAGCTGCCGTCGCTCCACGCGCACGAGGCGATGGCGGCAATATTGAAAGCCATAACGGCGGCGGCGCTCATGCCCTGGACGTCGTCGGGAACGATGGCGGTGTGAGCGGGCAGAAGCTTCAGCACAAGGTCCAGTCCCGCGCCTGGTGGCAGGTGAGGCACGGCAACCGCTCACCACCGCCCCCCGCCCCCATCTGGGCATCTCCCTGCCATTGGCCGCCGCCTCGACCAAGTTATCACCTTTGGGATGGCCGATGCTTGTCGCGATGACAGCAGGCCAGTGTGCGGCCAGCCACAGCTACGACATCTCACTCCCGCAACCTACGCAGCTTCCCGCTCCCCACAGCCCGGCCTCCATGCTCTGCACCCGCAGGGAAAGTTCGAAAGCTCCACCTATCACAGCACTGTCATTGCCCTGGTGCTTCTGGACCTAGCGACAATCACTATCGATCTGGGTTTCATGTTGGGTGAGCGTGCGGCGCAGCCGCGGCCACGGCTGGGGCATGTGCATGATGCATACGAGCTGCGGTGCGCAGCGCGGCTTGAACCGACGACGGCGGTGCTGCCCAGCAGTCAGGGTGGCAAGGCTGGTAGGGCCAGGGAAACATGTGTGCTCCAAGAGCGCGCCGTGCGGTTGCTTCCCAGCCCCATCCCTGGTGTCCCATGCTATTCAGAACCCAACCCACTTTCCCTTCGCCCCTCGCAGCGCACTGCCCCGAGCCGCACCTGACCCAGCCTGTCGAGAACCTGCTTGAGGCGCTGACCTGGGTGTCCATCGGGATCCTGTGCATCTTCATCGTGGGTTGGCTGCCTGCTTGAGGGGACGGCTCATCAAGCAGCGATTGAACTACTGGAAAGCCTGTGAATTGCCCTGGGGCGGGGGCTGCACCAGGGACGTTTGGCCTGGCGCGGCGCCTCCTGGCCTCCACCCAAGCATTTTCCTTGTGAGTTTGTCCTTGAAAACTTGAACATGCTTCTTATCATGCAGGTGGAGTTTGCCGCTCAGATCGTTTGCTTCGGATTCAAATGGTGAGCGGCAGCTGCCCCAGTACTGGCTTGGGCATGACGGCATGCAGTGCTGCCTGCGTGAGAGCAGCCAGCCTGACATGCAGCGCCCCCTGCACACCCCCTTTGCAACCATGATGTGACCACCGTTGTGACGATCAGGTGCAAGGAGCCCGCCAACATGCTCGACATGACGGTGAACTGGGCAGATGGAGGCGGGGCGGCAGGGCGTATGCGAGATGTCCTTAGCTGACGTGCGCGCCAGGCGGCTACCCCTGCAGCACACAAACATTCACACACATGTATGCATACATACAAACACATGCGCGCGTTCGCATGCACACATGCATGCATGCCTTACCTTGCAACAGGTGGTGGTGGCGTCATTGGTGTTGGAGCTGGTGCTACGGTCGTCAGAGTTGCGGGAGGTGGTGGCGCTGCTGATCGTCTTCCGTCTGTGGTGAGCAACCGGGGGACGCCGCGGCAGGCGATCCACCTGCTCCATGAGCAAGCCATTGGAACGCTGAAGCGATGAGTCCATGTGACATGGTGTTTTATGTTTGCATGCACGCGTGCCTTTGCTTGAGCCTGTCTGGTTATGTTTGCGTGCGGAATCGCAACACCAAGCAGCATCCACTGGAGTACCATCTTGACACATTTTGGACGCAAGCCCCCCAAACTCCTAACCAACAATCCTGCAAACGCGCGTGCGTGCACACGCACGCACACGCGCGCGCACACACACACATACACATACATACACACACGCGCACGCACACACGCATGCCTTGCCAGGCGCCTGGTTCGTGTGGTCCACGCAACAGAGGAGATACTGCACATAGAGCACGGCAAGAAGGCCGAGGTTGCCAGGACGCAGCTGCAGGTGGCCCTGCGCGAAGCGGACGACCTGCGGCGCCAGCTGTCCGAGACGCGAGCGCAGCTAGCGGCGCTCG